AATTTATGTTTAGCGCCATAATCCTGAATAATGTAATTAAAAAAAACTTGTACAATCAAAGTGCTGCTGGGTCATCTCATTATGAAGCTGTTTTACCTTTACTTGCTTCATAGAAGTGAGTCATATTCAGACAACGTCTAAAGGCCACTTGTTTTGTCTTGTGTGTTAGGAACAATCAAGGAAGAGGAAAGCAAAGAAAGAGAAGGAAGAAAGAGACTTAACTGATCGTCTGGGTGCATTGGTAAGTAACATTTAGACTAAAGAAAAGTATTAAAAAAATTAAGTATATTTTAAATAAAATTTATTTTGGTTAACATCACAGGGAAAGGGGCATAAGCATAAATTAATACTGACATTTTATGTCTTACTGTATCCGGATATCCAAACATCGAGAAGAGAGTTGAACATATGATGCGCAGTGGAGTATTTTTGACGAAATATAGCCGATGAAACAGTGTCTCGCGTGTTTGATACATCTTCTCAATCGAAACAAAAACTAAGGAGTAAATGGAGAAGTAAAATCATCAAAATCTATGCTAATTAAGACCGGGTATCCAAACCTCCCTCATGGTTGTGATTTTCTTTGTTTTAACATGATGAATTGTTGATGAGTTTAAGAAGCTTAGTTTGGGCACTGCATGGCTTGCTGTCCCTTTTCAGGCTGCTCAAAGATTGGTAATGGAGGAACGAACTAGAACCATAGGTGAACAACTAGATGAGCTAAGAAGACAATCAGAAAACCTGGCAAACACCCAAAAGATGGTAGAAGATGTAATAAAACGGAAAAGAAAGCGGTAAAGGGAGTGGCAGCAGCAAAGGCTAAAATAAGTCAGCATTCGGTCAATATGAAAAGAAGTATTTTACTACTGTATGATGAGCACAGTACTGTTGATCTTCATTGTTATCAACTTATATACGTTTGTTCACTTGTTCCAGTTTCTTTTGTTAGCGATCAAATTGTTAGTAGTTGTTAACTTCAATATTGCTATGAACTGCACAGTGCCAAACTGTTGCAACTTAATACGTCCTGTTTTCAAGGAATTTGTATCAAGTCTGTATATACACCATTCAATAATAGTTGACTACTTACCATCTTTAGAGAATATAGATTTTTAATGAAATGAAATGTTATAATTTTTACTACAGAAAAAAAAAATGTCAAACTATTCTTACAT